GCAGCAGCAGCAGCAGAAGGAGCAGCAGCAGCAGCAGTATCTACAGCCATCCCCATCCTCCCCTCCTCTTTGAGCCGCCGCGGGTCCACCCGCCGCCGCTCCCTCCCGGCCACCGCGGGTCCACCCGCCGTTGCCTTCCTCCCACTCCGTGTCACCAATGGCATCCTTTCCCCCTCCCGTCGATGTCTCAACCCTCGATTATCTCGTGCGCGCTGCCGACAACTCAGCAACCAACTGGTATTCCTTCGTCGGCAGCCTCCACCGCGTCCTCGGCAGTGCTTATGTCCTGCCGTTCCGCCTCCTGGACATCATGCTTGGTCTCCCAGAGGGTGACCTTGGGGACCCGCCGCCTCACCCTGGCGATCCCCCCCCTCTCATTCCCCATCCCGGCGAGGAACCTCCGCCCCCCATGGTACCCGTTGGCACCAGCACTCGCGCTGCCACCGCTGAAGTTGAGCAGCTCTTCCTTACTCAGCGTCGTGAGTTCCTCGTGCTCCATACTGATTACCTGATCGCGTTGGAGGAACACGAGCGGTCGGCAACCCTCCGCACCCAGCATGCCGCTACCGCCGCCGCTTATGCCGCTGACTCTGCGCGATTTGCTTAGCGTCGTCGCGCCTGGCTCGAGGCGGACAGCCGTGCTACTGGTGCCCTTCTCCTTGCCATCCCGTCTGCGCTCATGCGCAACTTCCAGGCACGTCGCATCGGCTCCCACCAGATCTGGCTCGAGCTTGAGGCAATGTTCGAACGCACCGACTTCGATGCTGTCGGACCGCTCTTCAAGGAATACTTCAGCATCACGATCGAACATAGTGCTGGCGCCGTTGACTACACCAGCCGTCTCCTGGACCTTGCCTCCCGCCTTGAGGCTCGCCAGACTACTCTCCCCCCCAACCTTCAGATCTACCGTCTCCTCGAAGGCCTCTCCCCTCAATATGAAGTGCGCGTCATCGCCTTCACTGAGGCTCAGCCCTGCGCCTCCCTTGACACTGTGGTCCAATGGATCATTGACGCTGAGGCCCGCCTTCTCTCAACCCCCCCCCTCCAGCCTGAACTCCACCGACTCCCAAAACCCCCAGCTTGCAGTCACACAGCCGCGACATGGCGGGCGCCCACGTGGCGGCCGCACCAACCCTCAGGGAGGGGGTGGAGGTGGCGGTTGTGGGGGCAGCGGAGCCGGCGGCGGTGGTGGCGGGGTCGAGGGTGGCAGCAGTGGTGGTGGTGGAGGCAGTGGTGGCTCATCTGGTAGCCGTGGTGGCCGCCCTGGCACTCTCCCCCCATGTTCCTATCTTCGCCGTTTTGGTCCCAGGGCGGGTGAGCGCTGCACCCAAACCAACCATCCCCCCGCAACCTGCTTCAAGGCGTATGATGACGCCTGGTTCGAGCGCGGCAACACTGGCACACCCCCACGCTGGTCTGCCATGGATCCCCGCCGCTCTCTCACTGAGCTCTGGGCTAGCACCAAGCCATATGCTGCCATTCTCCGTATCTGGGGTTGCAAGGCATATGTCCTCATCCCCCCACCTGACCGCTCTCGGCAGGCAGGAAAGCTCGCCTCCAAGGCCATTGAGTGTGTCTACCTTGGCCACGCTCGCTCTGCCCCTGGTTACCTCTTCCTTCACCCGTCCTCAGGCCGCCTCCTACAGAGCCGTGACGTGGTGTTCGATGAGAGCATCCCGTTCTATCATTCTGTTCTGCCTTCCGACCCCCTTCCTCCTCTCTCCCGCCCCCTCACCTGGGCTGATGCTGTCATTCCCCCACTCCTTCCCCAGGCTCCCCTCCTTCCTCCAAATCCTGCTCCTCCCCCTCCTCCTTCCTCAGGTGACATTTACGACCCAGCTGTCCCTGACTCCCCTGCTCACTCTGCCTCATCGCACCAGCACCAGCAGCAGCAGCAGCAGCAGCAGCAGCAGCAGCAGCAGCAGCAGCAGAAGGAGCAGCAGCAGCAGCAGCGGATGGAGCAGCAGCAGCAGCAGCAGCAGCAGCAGCAGCAGCAGCAGCAGCAGCAGCAGCAGCAGCAACAGCAGCAGGAGGTGCAGCAGCAGCAGCAGCAGCAGCAGCAGCAGCAGCAGGAGGTGCAGCAGCGGATGGAGCAGCAGCAGCAACCGCAGGCAGTGCAGCAACAGCAGCCGTAGCAGGAGGTGCAGCAGCAGCACCAGCAGCAGCCACAGCAGCAGCAGCAGCAGCAGCAGCAGCAGCAGCAGCAGCAGCCACTGCAGCAACCTCATCGGCATCGCCGCACCACCTCTCCGTTCATCCTCCCACGCATCCACACTCGCTCTCACGGCCCACTCATAGGCCATCCATGGGGTTGGCCAACACCACCCCCACCCTCCCTTCCCTTCATTGAGGACTCCCATGAGGAGCTCATTGGCGTTCAGCAACAAACACCTTCCCTCACGCCTCTCTACCCGGGCTTCCTTGGCCTCCTCATCCTTGGCATCGCTACCGCTCCCACCAGATTCACTCCGTCCAACTTCCTTGAGGCCATCACCTGCCCCGATGCTGCCAAGTGGATCCAGGCTATCTTTGCTGAATGCGAGGCCTTCATCCGCAATGCCTCATTCGTTAACATTGTCCCCTCTCCTGACGACGTCATTGTTGAAGGCCTGTGGGTGTTCCGAGTGAAGCAGCTGCCGGGTGAGGAGCCGGTCTACAAGGCCCGGTATTGTGCCAAGGGCTTCACCCAAACCCATGGCATCGACTACTGGGAGACATTCTCTCCCACTGCCAAGCTCCCAACTCTCCATGCCATCCTCGACTATGCTGTTCGCATTGGCATGGAGATTGCCTCCATGGATGTCTCCAACGCCTTCCTGCAAGGCGAGCTCCATGAGCGGGTCCTCTTGCGGCGGCCTCCAGGCTTTCATGCAGCCTTCCCTGCCAACACAGTCTGGGAGCTGCGCCGCCCGGTTTATGGCCTCAAGCAGGCTCCTCGCGAGTGGCACAACAAGCTGGCCGCCACTCTGCAGTCCTTGGGGTTCCATGACTCTCAGTCTGATGCCAGCCTTTTCCTTCGCTCCTCTCCCACCCGCTTCTTCATCCTGGTGTATGTCGACGACATGATCCTGTTCGCTGACGATGCTGCCGCCATGCAGCAAGTGAAGGACGCCCTGCATGCGCGCCTCAAGTGCAAGGACCTGGGTGAGCTCAAGCACTATCTGGGCATGACCATCACCCGGGACCGCACATCGCGCACCATTACCCTCTCTCAGTCCTTCTACATCGACCAAGTCTTGCAGCGGTTCGACATGGCGCAGGCCAAGCCGGTTACCACTCCCCTGCAGACCGACCACCAGCTTGCCCCTCCTCCTGCTCCCTCCTCCTCTGACCATCCTTACGCTGAGCTCGTCGGCTCGCTGATGTACGCTATGATGTGCACCCGCCCCGACCTTGCCTACCCCATCAGTGTTCTTGCTCGATTCGTCGGTACCGGTCGCCACACTGATGAGCACTGGGCTGCAGCGAAGCTGGTCCTCCGCTACCTCCGTGGTACCAAGGACTATGTCCTCACCCTCGGAGGTTCTTCTCCTCCCCTCCTCTCTGGCTTCAGTGACTCCTCCTGGGCTGACTCCCAGCCGGATCGCCGTTCCTCTCAAGGCTACGGCTTCACCCTTGGCAGCGGCCTCATCAGCTGGCGCTCCACTCGCTCCTCCTCCATCGCCCTCTCATCCTGCGAGGCTGAGCTCTATGCTTGCACCATGGCCGCTCAGGAGGCTCGCTGGCTCACCTTCCTCCTTGCTGAGATCGGTGCTCCTCAGCGCTGTCCCACCCTCTGGTGCGACAACGCCAGCACCATCCATCTCACAAAGGACCCTGTCTTCCATGGCCGCTCCAAGCACATTGAACTCCGCTACTTCTTCGTTCGAGAGTTGGTCCAGCAAGGTCACTTGGTGGTCCGCAAGATCGCTACAGAGGCCAACTTGGCCGACATCTTCACCAAGGCCCTCCCGAAGACCGCGCACTCTGCCCTCCTCCGCCTTCTCGGCCTTGGGCCCCGCCCCCCTTCCTGATTCTGGGGTTGTACCCTACATATACACTAGCTTTGCATGCTATGGGGTTGTGTTAGAATATACCATGCTATGTTAGTTGTGTATATTGTGTTTACATCCCTAGTTGGGTGTACACCTGTGTTGGGGTGTCAATCCAACCCAATTGTGGTTGGAGCCCCCAAACACAAGGACCACAATTGTGGGGGCACCACAAGTGGGTTGGCTAAACCACTGGTGGTACACCACACTTGGACCACCTCCAACTGGTGGTCAACCACATTTGGAAGGAGCCTCCCTCCCTTGTGATTGGTCCTAACCCCCCCTTCCCTTCCAACCTTCCCTTCCTAGCTCATCTCTCTCTTCCTATGTAATGCCTTTCCTTCATCAATAAACTGAACCTTTCTGTTTCTAACACAAGGAGGTAGCTCAACCCAAGATTCTGGCATTGCAGCGCAAAGGGGAGCGCGTACAAGCCAGGGGTCACTGCTTAAGGAGGTGCTGAAGAACTTCACCATAGAGAAGTTCTCTGGAGATGGCTATGATGATTGGGCATGGAAGATGCAGCTCTACTTTCAACAAATTGGCCTCTTGAAGCTCATGATTGGAACGGAGCCAAGGCCAAAGGAAATGGCAGAGCAAGCGGACTGGGATGAACGTTCAGCTGCTGGGTATTATCTACTATCACAAAGCTTGGAGTTTAATCAGATGCATCACATCATGCATCTGCTATCGGAAACTGATTGTGGGCCCAAGGCATGGGCAGTGCTCAAGGACCTGCACGCTCCGACATCGGTTGCCACTTCTCTCATGCTGGAAGAGGTGGTCACTCCAACAATGACAACAGTGAACCACGCTTGAGGGGAGAGTGCTGGTATTGCAAGGAAGAAGGGCATCCATGGTTTCGCTGCTCTACCAAGCCCGACTAGTGGACCCCTTGGAACCAATCGCAAAAGGGGAATGGAGGAAAGCAACCACATGGAGGTGCCAACATGGTAGCTGATCCTGCTGAAGAAACCTCCAAGGATGACAGAGGAATGGGAAATGAGGAGAGGAATGCTGGACAGTTCTACCATGTGTGTGACAAAGATGACAGTGGCACGGCTGTTGCAAGGGCTGGAGAGGAATTGCACCCGCTTGACAAGTGGGTCATGGACTCTGGTGCTGCATGGACAATGACACCACGCAAGGACTTGCTGGATGCTGTGCGAGCGCCTCCAATCTCCGAAGTGCGCTCAGCATCCGGACATGCCGTGAAGGTCGTTGGAGTTGGTCGAGCTGCATTCAGAGCACTTGATGGTGGACTGGTTGTGCTGAAGGACGTGTTACTCGTACCGGGGCTGAAGGCCAATCTGATATCGCTGCGCAAGCTAGGCCAGGCCGGAGTCAGCACCATCACCAATGGATCCAAAACATTCAAGGGGCTGCAAGGAGATCGTGTGTTATGGGATTTACACGAAAGCAGAAATGTCTTCAGATCCATGTGGCACATCCCTGTGCTTATATGGGAATCAACAAAGGAGTTGGGAGCAGTAAAGCCGGGATCTGGAGTCCAGGGGGAGTGCAATACAGTTAGTGCTACAGGAGTGACGGTTTCTGCAAGGTCGGGGGAGACTGATTGGGAAACCGCACACAGGCGTCTAGGGCATCTGGCTATACCATTGCTGCAGCAACTGCATAAGGAAGAAGCAGTAAAAGGGCTGAAGCTTTCTGGGCAACCAAATGATACCAAGTGCGAGACGTATCTGCTGAGCAACTTCATATGGTTCCCCTTTCACGGCGTAGCTGGGAAAAGCAAGGCGGCACTTGAACTGGTGCACATGGTCCTGGTAGGACCTTTTCCAGTTCGAGGAAGTAAGGGGGAAAGGTACTTCCTAACAATAGTTGATGACTGGAGTCGGCTGATATGGGCATACCCGTTGAAGCAGAAGGATCATGCTGCCTCAACAATACGAGATGACTGGCTGCCGTTCGTCGGGCGACAATCTGGGCACCCATGCAAGAGCATCAGAATCGACCGAGGTGGAGAGTTTCTAGGAGGAGATCTGACTGCGTGGCTCAAGAAACAAGGCATTGAGCATCAGCTAACGACGTCCTATACCCCTCAGTCAAATGGCGTTGCTGAGAGGGCTAATAGGACCATCCTGGAAACTGCACGAGCGCTGCTGATCAAATCAGGGCTGGGGAACTCCATGTGGCCTCATGTGGTGAGGCATGCTACAGTGGCAAGGAACCGCGTACTCACAAAGGTGGCTGATGATATGTGGGTGCCGCTGGAGAGGTGGCTTGGAAAGAAGCCTCCAGTGGACATGCTTAGAGTGTTCGGATGCATGGCAGTGGCGCATGTCCCTAAACCGTACAGGACAAAGCTTGGAGCATCTGCACTTTGGTGTGTGCACCTTGGGCTTGCGGCAGAGAGCAAGGGGTGGCTACTCTGGGAGCCCTCGAAGAATGTGCTGTTTGAAAGTCGGGATGTCACATTTGTGGACAAAATCATGTATGGCAAGTGGGAGAAGCAGCCGGAGGCAAGGGTCACTCAGCAGCTGGATGAGATCACTATGCACTTCGATTTGTCCGAACCTGAGGACAGCAAAGTCACTGCGCCAACGGCAAGCGGTACTGATAAAAGAAGTAATGAGGATATTGCAGTTGATGCTGAAGTCAAGGATCCGGAGCAGCAGCAGCAAGAGGCTACCAAAACACCAAGTCTGTCAAAGCGAAAGAAACAGATTGGTGGGGGGACAAAGGATTGGGTGAAGGTGAAAGAATGGGTAAATCCAACCATCTACCCTGCACGTACCAGAATGGCAACGAGAAAGCTGCTGAACTCTACAAGTGGAGGAGCCACGACTGAGCAGCAGGAACAGGCTCAAGACAAAGATGCAGTGCTGTTCTTGGGTGATGACCAAGAGTCAGATGACGAGGAGCCTGCATACTGCTTTTACGCACCAATACAACCTCCGAGGATGGTTGATGCGCTAGCCGGGCCTCAACGGGGGAAGTGGCTCATTTCAAGAGATGCAGAGTACAACAGCCAGATGGAGAATCACACGTGGGACCTGGTGTACTTGCCAAATGGGAAGAAGGCAATACAGTGCAAGTGGCTGGCAAAAATCAAGACGGATGAGAAAGGAGGGCCATCAGTTTACAAGACTAGGCTGGTGGCAAAGGGGTTTCAGCAGAAAGAGAAGGAATATTACAAAGAAGTGTTTGCCCCAACTGCTAAGTCTCCAACGCTACGTGTGCTGCTAGCGGTAGCTGCAGTGCGCAAATGGAAGGTGAAGCAGATGGACATCGTAACCGCTTTTCTGTACGGCATTGTGGAAGAGGAGGTGTACATGGTTCAACCACCTGGCTATGAGGATGGAACAAGTCGTGTCTGCAAACTTAACAAGGCCATCTATGGCTTGAAGCAGGCCCCGAGATGCTGGTACAACAGGCTGGCCAGTGCACTGGAAGGGATTGGATTCCGTGCGAGTGCATGCGACGAGAGCCTATTCCTGATGGGCGAGGGGGAGTCGCTTGTGCTTCTGCTGGTGTACGTGGATGACATCGTGCTCTTCAGCAGCAGTGACAAGGAGATCGATGGGGTGCAGCGGAAGCTCACAGAGCAGTTCAAGTGCAAGTCACTTGGAGAGGCAAGGTACTACCTGGGAATGCACATTGAGCGGGATACTGAACGTGGCTGGCTCAAACTGCATCAGGGACAGTACATCAACACCTTGGCTGAGAAGTACTCTCTACAGGAAGAACGGAAAGTGGTCACACCTTTGCCTTCCGAGTTCAAACTCAGAAAGGCAGCTGAAGGAGAAGGAGTTGAGAGTGAAGACCACAGGCAATTCCAATCCATGGTTAGGAGCCTACTCTACGCTGCTCTACATACTCGGCCTGACATCAGCTTTGCTGTGGGACAGCTGGCTCGAGTAGTGCAAAATCCAACAGAAGAGCAGTGTGGTGCAGCGGAGAGAGTGGTGCGCTACCTCAAGTCATACCCTACAATGGGAGTACAGTATTCAGCCTCTGCTCAACTCTGGCAAAAAGGAGTTGAAGTCCTCAAAGAGAAGGGGAGCAGCTCGGAGAAGGAAAGGTGTTCCTTTCCTGTTTTGCTGATGCCACGTGGGCTTCTGAGCATGAGGATTCATCATCAGTTGGTGGATACATGTGCATGGTGGGAGGTGGCCCTGTAAGTTGGAGGTCCAAGAAGCAGAGTGAGACGGCACTATCTTCAGTGGAATCTAAGTACATGGCGATGTTTCATGCGGCAAAAGAAATCATATGGCTAAGGAGGCTCTTGAAGGAGATCGGCCATGAGCAGACTTGTGCGACACCTCTGTTCAGTGATAGCAAGGGAGCCATTGCCTGTTGGTGCATATTCGTTTGCACGTCATCCTGTCGTCTGTTCGCATCATTTCGTTGCATATGTTTTGTGTGCTACATTGTTTGTATGGTTTGTTGGGTTTGCATGTCTTTGCATGTTCATCTTGTGCTTGTGCAGATGTGCTTGGATTGTGCATGACATCGAGCACATTCCAACGAGCCAAGAATTGTTGGAATCGGAGCACATATGGAGTTACGAAGAAATGTTTGATGGATTTGTTACTACTCATTGGAAGTCCTTGGCAGCTGCTACACCAAGTTGGAGAGCCCTATAACGAGGAGTGACCAGCATGTGTGGGAATTTTGTCCCCACCTTGCAGCTGCAGCATTTGGGGTTTGGAGGCCAACCTGGTACAATGTGAATTTTGTCTTGCCAGGCTGGCTGAACCTGAGGATGGGGAGTCAAGACTTTGACTCTTGTCATGTTCTTGACCATTGGCCTCCAGGGTCCTCCCCTTTCATCCTTCCCTTCCTACCCCACCTTCCAACTGTGCTTCAATGCCTCTTCCATCATGCCTCTGAACTTGTAAGCTTCAATTATAGTGACTCTGAGGACTGTCAACTTCTCCTAGGGCAGATTACCCCCTAGTGCGCCAAACACCATAGCTCACTCGTTAAGCTACGGAATCGAGTGATTCAACTTTCATTGGAAAGCTGACACTGCAAGCTATAACATAGCCGAGTTTCAGATTGTTTCACCGATTGGAGTTTTGGATATAGCTTTTCGAAGGTCGCGGGTTTTCTGGGCGTCATAACGAAGTGCTGCAGAAATTTCCAAGAAGCCATTGAATCATCTGCTTATAGCCTTCTCTCACTAACAAGTGGTATCAGAGCCCATTATTACGCATTTGGAACCTAAAATACGATGGGAGATAAGGAGGACTCTGGTGGAGGTGATACTTCAGTCCAAGGAGGCAGCTCTACCCAAGATTCTGGCATTGCAGCGCAAAGGGGAGCGCGTACAAGCCAGGGGTCACTGCTTAAGGAGGTGCTGAAGAACTTCACCATTGAGAAGTTCTCTGGAGATGGCTATGATGATTGGGCATGGAAGATGCAGCTCTACTTTCGACAAATTGGCCTCTTGAAGCTCATGATTGGAACGGAGCCAAGGCCAAAGGAAATGGCAGAGCAAGCGGACTGGGATGAACGTTCAGCTGCTGGGTATTATCTACTATCACAAAGCTTGGAGTTTAATCAGATGCATCACATCATGCATCTGCTATCGGAAACTGATTGTGGGCCCAAGTCATGGGCAGTGCTCAAGGACCTGCACGCTCCGACATCGGTTGCCACTTCTCTCATGCTGGAAGAGGTGGTCACTCCAACAATGACAACAGTGAACCACGCTTGAGGGGAGAGTGCTGGTATTGCAAGGAAGAAGGGCATCCATGGTTTCGCTGCTCTACCAAGCCCGACTAGTGGACCCCTTGGAACCAATCGCAAAAGGGGAATGGAGGAAAGCAACCACATGGAGGTGCCAACATGGTAGCTGATCCTGCTGAAGAAACCTCCAAGGATGACAGAGGAATGGGAAATGAGGAGAGGAATGCTGGACAGTTCTACCATGTGTGTGACAAAGATGACAGTGGCACGGCTGTTGCAAGGGCTGGAGAGGAATTGCACCCGCTTGACAAGTGGGTCATGGACTCTGGTGCTGCATGGACAATGACACCACGCAAGGACTTGCTGGATGCTGTGCGAGCGCCTCCAATCTCCGAAGTGCGCTCAGCATCCGGACATGCCGTGAAGGTCGTTGGAGTTGGTCGAGCTGCATTCAGAGCACTTGATGGTGGACTGGTTGTGCTGAAGGACGTGTTACTCGTACCGGGGCTGAAGGCCAATCTGATATCGCTGCGCAAGCTAGGCCAGGCCGGAGTCAGCACCATCACCAATGGATCCAAAACATTCAAGGGGCTGCAAGGAGATCGTGTGTTATGGGATTTACACGAAAGCAGAAATGTCTTCAGATCCATGTGGCACATCCCTGTGCTTATATGGGAATCAACAAAGGAGTTGGGAGCAGTAAAGCCGGGATCTGGAGTCCAGGGGGAGTGCAATACAGTTAGTGCTACAGGAGTGACGGTTTCTGCAAGGTCGGGGGAGACTGATTGGGAAACCGCACACAGGCGTCTAGGGCATCTGGCTATACCATTGCTGCAGCAACTGCATAAAGAAGAAGCAGTAAAGGGGCTGAAGCTTTCTGGGCAACCAAATGATACCAAGTGCGAGACGTGTCTGCTGAGCAAGTTCACACGGTTCCCCTTTCACGGCGTAGCTGGGAAAAGCAAGGCAGCACTGGAACTGGTGCACATGGACCTGGTAGGATCTTTTCCAGTTCAAGGAAGAAAGGGGGAAAGATACTTCCTAACAATAGTTGATGACTTGAGTCGGCTGATATGGGCATACCCGTTGAAGCAAAAGGATCATGCTGCCTCAACAATACGAGATGACTGGCTGCCGTTCGTCGAGCGACAATCTGGGCACCCATGCAAGAGCATCAGAACCGACCGAGGTGGAGAGTTTCTAGGAGGAGATCTGACTGCGTGGCTCAAGAAACAAGGCATTGAGCATCAGCTAACGACGTCCTATACCCCTCAGTCAAATGGCGTTGCTGAGAGGGCTAATAGGACCATCCTGGAAACTGCACGAGCGCTGCTGATCAAATCAGGGCTGGGGAACTCCATGTGGCCTCATGTGGTGAGGCATGCTACAGTGGCAAGGAACCGCGTACTCACAAAGGTGGCTGATGATATGTGGGTGCCGCTGGAGAGGTGGCTTGGAAAGAAGCCTCCAGTGGACATGCTTAGAGTGTTCGGATGCATGGCAGTGGCGCATGTCCCTAAACCGTACAGGACAAAGCTTGGAGCATCTGCACTTTGGTGTGTGCACCTTGGGCTTGCGGCAGAGAGCAAGGGATGGCTACTCTGGGAGCCCTCAACGAATGTGCTGTTTGACAGTCGGGATGTCACATTTGTGGAGAACATCATGTATGGCAAGTGGGAGAAGCAGCCAGAGGCAAGGGTCACCCAGCAGCTGGAAGAGATCACTATGCACTTCGATGTGTCCGAACCTGAGGACAGCGAAGTCACTGCACCAACGGCAAGCGGTACTGATGAAGGAAGCAATGAGGATATTGCAGCTGATGCTGAAGTCAAGGATCCGGAGCAGCAGCAGCAAGAGGCTTCCAAAACACCAAGTCTGCCAAAGCGAAGGAAACAGATTGGTGGGGGGACAAAGGATTGGGTGAAGGTGAAAGAATGGGTAAATCCAACCATCTACCCTGGACGTACCAGAATGGCAACAAGAAAGCTGCTGAACTCTACAAGTGGAGGAGCCACAACAGAGCAGCAGGAACAGGCTCAAGGCGAAGATGCAGTGCTGTTCTTGGGTGATGACCAAGAGTCAGATGACGAGGAGCCTGCATACTGCTTTTACGCACCAATACAACCTCCGAGCATGGATCATGCGCTAGCCGGGCCTCAACGGGGGAAGTGGCTCGTTTCAAGAGATGCAGAGTACAACAGCCAGATGGAGAATCACACATGGGACCTGGTGTACTTGCCAAATGGGAAGAAGGCAATACAGTGCAAGTGGCTGGCAAAAATCAAGACGGATGAGAAAGGAGAGCCATCAGTTTACAAGAGCAGGCTGGTGGCAAAGGGGTTTCAACAGAAAGAGAAGGAAGATTACAAAGAAGTGTTTGCCCCAACTGCTAAGTCTCCAACGCTACGTGTGCTGCTGGCGGTAGCTGCTGTGCGCAAATGGAAGGTGAAGCAGATGGACATCGTAACCGCTTTTCTGTACGGCATTGTGGAAGAGGTGTACATGGTTCAACCACCTGGCTATGAGGATGGAACCGGTCGTGTCTGCAAACTTAACAAGGCCATCTATGGCTTGAAGCAGGCCCCGAGATGCTGGTACAACAGGCTGGCCAGTGCACTGGAAGGGATTGGATTCCGTGCGAGTGCATGCGACGAGAGCCTATTCCTGATGGGCGAGGGGGAGTCGCTTGTGCTTCTGCTTGTGTACGTGGATGACATCCTGCTCTTCAGCAGCAGTGACAAGGAGATCGATGGGGTGCAGCAGAAGCTCACAGAACAGTTCAAGTGCAAGTCACTTGGAGAGGCAAGGTACTACCTGGGAATGCACATTGAGCGGGATACTGAACGTGGCTGGCTCAAACTGCATCAGGGACAGTACATCCACACCTTGGCTGAGAAGTACTCTCTGCAGGAAGAACAGACAGTGGTCACACCTTTGCCTTCCGAGTTCAAACTCATAAAGGCAGCTGAAGGAGAAGGAGTTGAGTGTGAAGACCAGAGGCAATTCCAATCCATGGTCGGGAGCCTACTCTACGCTGCTGTGCATACTCGTCCTGACATCAGCTTTGCTGTGGGACAGCTGGCTCGAGTAGTGCAAAATCCAACAGAAGAGCAGTATGGTGCAGCAGAGAGAGTGGTGCGCTACCTCAAGTCATACCCTACGGTGGGAGTACAGTATTCAGCCTCTGCTCAACTCTGGCAAAAGGGAGTTGAAGTCCTCAAAGAGAAGAGGGAGCAGCTCGGAGAAGGAAAGGTGTTCCTTTCCTGTTTTGCTGATGCCACATGGGCTTCTGAACATGAGGATTCATCATCAGTAGGTGGATACATCTGCATGGTGGGAGGTGGGCCTCTAAGTTGGAGGTCCAAGAAGCAGTCTGAGACGGCACTATCTTCAGTGGAATCTGAGTACATGGCGATGTTTCATGCGGCAAAAGAAATCATCTGGCTAAGGAGGCTCTTGAAGGAGATCGGCCATGAACAGACTTGAGTGACACCTCTGTTTCTAACACTACCACCATCGCTTGGGTCACCCCAACTTCCGTACACTTGCCGACATCGCTTTCAAGAGACTTCTTCTTGGCCTCCCGTCGGCGCTTCCTCCACCAACAGACTCACTTGCACCCACCTGCCTGGACTGCACGAAGAGCAAGCTCAGGCAGCAGCCGCACCCTTCCTCCCCATCCGTCGCAGCTGCTCCGCTGGACCTAGTGCACATGGATGTCTGGGGCCCAGCTCCAGTCGCATCCCGAGGCGGTTATCGGTACTTTCTTACACTAGTCGATGACCACTCGCGGTATGTTTCTGTGCACCTCCTGCATACCAAGGCGGAGGCACCTGATGTCATCATGGCGTTGGTGCGCCAGGCTCAAGTCACGTTCGGCACTCCTCTGAAGTGCCTCCATTCTGATGGCGGGGGAGAATTTCGCAATGGCAAACTCGATAACTTCTGTGCGGCCCAAGGGATTCGGCAAACCTTCACGCTCCCCGAAAGCCCGCAGCAGAATGGCATTGCAGAGAGCCGCAACCACACATTGGTTCAGATCGCTTGCTGCCTCCTCAGTCATGCCAACGCACCACGGTCACTCTGGGGATATGCCCTCTTCCATACGGCACTCCTCTACAATCCTTATCCGCATCCCCACTGGCCCGACACCACACCTACCGCTCTCTGGCTTGGGGTCACGCCTTCCGCCCGCTCTCTACGCGTCTGGGGGTGTACCGCGTATGTGTTGCTAAGCCCCCACACGCGCAGGAAGCAAGGTGGCAAGCTTGGTCCCAAAACCCAGACCTGCATGTACCTGGGGCACAACTCCGACTCCCCAAACTACTTATTCCTCAACCCAATCACTAGACAGCTGATTCGCAGCCGTGATGTTGTCTTCGATGAGACACACCCATTCCACTCTGCGACCACGGGCGAGCCTCTTCTACCTCCCCCGACGCTTGTTTGGGCAGACTTCGATGCCCCACCTCCGGCCGCTGCCCCTTCTCCGGGGCCTTCTCCGTCCGGCGTGTCTCACCCGGCCTCCCCAGTATCCTACGCAGCGGCACCTCCTCCTGCTCTGCCTTCCTCGCGCGTCGAGCCCGGCTCACCAGTCTCCTATCGGAGGCGCCCAGTCCCTCCGGTCCCACCGCAGCCGCCTTCGTCTCCGGTCTCTAGTCGCACTCGTTCCAAGGGACCGGCTCCGCCTCTCGCCTGGGGACCAGCCGCCTTCTCCATCCGGTGTTCGGTCACCCCGCCTCCTCCTGCCGGGGGTGATGTCCCCTCCATCCGTATTCCCCCCCGTGCACTTCTGGAGGACAGGCATGAGGAGCTGTTTGACCTTCACGCGGTCTGCAAATTTCTCTCTCACATCTTCCCGGACATTACTGACTGCCCTTCCCTCAACTTCACCAAGAACCCGACCATTCCGACTCCTCGCACAAAAGAGGAAGCTCTCTCGGGGCCTTATAAGAAGGAGTGGAAGGCAGCAATGGATGTGGAGAACGAGGCGTTCATTTGCAACAACAGCTTTGACGATGTTGTTCCCCCTTCCGGTGTCAACATCGTCGGCGGAAAATGGATCTTCCGAGTCAAACAACTCCCAGGCGAAGCTCCACTGTTCAAGGCACGATACGTGGCGAAGGGTTTCACCCAGAAGGAGTATCTCGACTTCTTCGAAACATTCTCGCCCACGGCCAAGCTCCCGACTGTGCGCGCTCTTCTTGATATAGCCGCTCGCGGCAACTTCGAGATCAAGTCCATGGACGCCTCCTCCGCCTTTCTCCAAGGCCAGCTCAAGGAGGATGTTCACATGGAACGCCCACCGGGGTTTCCTGGCACTTACCCTGCCAACACAGTGTGGAAGCTGAAGTGCCCAGTGTATGGCCTCAAGCAGGCTCCTCGTGAGTGGCACAACAAGGTGAAGGAAGTCCTCCTCGCATTTGACTTCCATCCCTCTGCCTCAGATTCCAGTCTCTTCGTTCGTCACTCCTCCGAGCCCTTCTACCTCCTCGTCTACGTCGACGACTTCATTCTAGCCGCCAGAGATCCAGCCGACATGGCAGCTGTCCAGTCTGCTCTCAGCTCCGTCTTTCTCATGAAGGATCTTGGTGACCTCAAGAACTACCTGGGGATGGAGATCACTCGTGACCGCCAAGCTTGCACGATCACCCTCTCCCAGGAGTCCTACATCGACAACCTTCTCAAGCGGTTCGACATGGACTCCAGTAACTCTGTCTCCACTCCACTCCCACTACAGCATCAGCTCACGGCCCCTCCAGTTCCTTCTCCTGACGCCTGCAAGGACCCGTACCCTGAGCTAGTCGGTTCACTCATGTATGCCATGATGTGCACTCGACCAGACATGGCTTACCCGGTTAGTGTCCTCTCTCGGTACGTCTCCCCCGGACGCTACACTGCCTCGCATTGGTCTGCAGCCAAGAGGGTCCTCCGTTATCTACAAGCCACCAAGTCTCACATCCTCACTCTTGGTTGTTAGAAATAGACTGCAAATACCACTTTTGCATTTGTACTTTTATATCCGAGTTTAGGTTATGAATGTTTTAGTGGGTTGGGGTGTACTCACAAATCCCAACCTCACCCAATTGTGATCTCCCCAATCTCCAATTACCCATTGGAGATTCCGGAGATCCCCATGGGGATTCCCTCCAATTCCCCCTTCATCCATTCACTCTCACCTTGCCATGTACTTATAGAGCCTTGGGCTCCTTACCTAATCAATCATTTCAACTCTATTTCTTACATGGTATCAGAGCGACCTATCCGCACACGCGGATCAAGGTCCTAATCTCAACGTGCCCGCGCTACGCGCACT